AATTTTATACTTTAAAATAGGTCCTAAGAAAAGAAAAATGCTAAGTTGCACCTATTATACCCCTTGGAACCTTAGCACAACATACATATACTGATCATCGAAGTTGTAGCAAGTATTGCCCCGCCTAGGCATCCTCTTGGGCAATACTTGCTACCACGTTGTAGTCAGCAGTGAGTCACTTAACTAAGGAAGCAAATTTGCCTTCGAGACAAACATAAATGCACATGCAAATTTAAAGTGATCCAGTGCAATGTGATTGTCCTAGCATAGTATGAAAGATTAAAAAATGACAAACATTTGCCACTAGTATATGGAGTCATATAAAAATAACGATTGTGCTGAAGGTGCAAAGTGGTGCATGCAAGACATACAACAAGTATAGGTGAGTGTGCCGAAAAGACTGTGACTCAGGAGTGAGTGTATCGAGGAGGCAGTGACTCCGAGATTTAGTGTGACGAGGAGGTAATGACTCGAGAGAGTAAGTCTGTCGAGGAGGCACTAATTCGGTAGTGACTGTGTCGGCGAGTGTGCTGAGGAGGCAGTACTCAGGAGTGAGTGTGATGAGGAGGTAACGAATCATGAGTGAGTGTGTCGAGGAGGCAGTGACTCGAGAGATAGTGTGGAGAGGATGCAGTAACTCAGGAGCGTGAGTGTGTCGAGGAGACAACGACTTGAGAGTGAGTGTGTCAAGGAGTCAGTGACTTGAGGATGTGCATACGACAATCCATAGTGGTGTCAAAGGAAGATAAGGAAGTGTAGCTCTTGTTGGAGAGAACTACAAACCAGATGAGCTTGGTGGTAAGCCATCCACTCACATGATGTATGAATGGGTGAGATAGGTGTGTTAAGACACAAGCCCAAGCGCAAGGACTTCAAGCATGCAAGTCATTGATACTCATAATGCTATGCAAAAAAGCATGCAAAAGTGGAGATTGCAAGTGAAAACCACCTGTGACGTGGTGCAGAGTGACATAAGAATGTCACAAAGCAAATATGTAGAGTAACGTGCTGCTAGAATGCACCAGTACTCATCATGAACATATGAAAGCACATGCTCGAGAATGCACGATAGTGTGCAAGTGTGGATGTGCTAAAGCATGCAATGTGAAAAACATGCAATGAATGCAATATACCAAATGCAAATGATCAATCAATCGGTCAGGCCGGCGGCGGTGTCGATCGATCACTTCAACAGACTGTGGTCAATAAATCGATTGAGACAGTGGAGGCGTAGATCAATCATGTAGATCGAGAAGAGTTGATCGAGCTGGAGTGTGCAGATTATCAACGAAGGATGATCGATCGGGTTGGGGCATTCGACCGACAAAAGGGGGGTGGGGGCGGCCGATCGGCGGAGAAGGGCCGCCCCAGCCGATCGGTTGAGTCAACAGAAGTGGTTGATCGAATTGGTGTGGGCAATCGATCGATGAGGAAGGCTGATCAAGTCGGGGTGGCCGATCGACGAAGAATGGTCGGTCTAGCCGATTGGGTAGATGGCGACCGATCGATCAAATAAACAGAAGTGGTCAATTGAAACATCGTAGGCAGTTGATCAATGAAGAACAATCGATCTGGCCATGGCGGTCGATCGACAGAGAATGTTTTGTTGAGCCAATTAGGCCGGTGGCAGCCAATCGGGCCGGTGGCGGTCAATTGGGCCTGTGTCTGCCGATCGTCGAACCGACAAAAAGGAGTCGATCAAATCGGTTTGGGCAGTCAATCGATGAGGAATGATTGATCAGGTCAGGGCAGCCGATCGACATATAAGGATCGACCAAGCCGATTGGGCCAGTGACAGCTGATCGGTCAAATAGACCAAAAGTAATCTATCTGGATGATCGGGTTTGTGGTGGCCGATCGACCGAGTTGATAGGAGGAAAGTGCTGATTGAGTAAATGGCTGCATTTGATCAACAACAGAAGCAAAAATAGATGTTTTTTAATGTACATTTTTTAAATTCATGTGGTGCACACAATGAAAATGCGAACACATACAATATGAAAACGGATTAACTCCGACAATAGATCATGCTTGTCCTAACGAACTCACGAGAGGCCTAGGGTGCCCGATAGAGAGATGTACAAGTGCAATATTACATGAGGGAACATGATGCCCACCTCCATTTGCACGACGTTGAACGGGGAATCCCTTATAAAGAGTACTATCAGTGACCGAGAAGACGACCGTTGAAGGAGTGCCATCATCTTCTTGATAGGTGGATTTCAAATGTCCATCTGGGTGAAATCACCAAGGCAAACGATGAGATTAGTATAACACCAGCTTTTAGATTTTGGGTTAAAAAGAAAAAAGGATAGGTTTCACTCTTTGGAATCGTAGGGGCGAACGTAAAGCACTTAATTCTTTGGGGCTTCCTTTAAGTACACAAAAATACTAACTTAGCTTCTCTAGCATCCTAACCAAGGGGCTCGATAAATGAATGAACGAAAGATTAAGGGGTTTCACCCATCTGATAGTTAATTGAAATGTTCTCTGGGCTTGTTTGCGGTCCGATGTTGCTCTCGTAGGATGAAAATCTCCTTATTGTAGGAGAGAGGATGGCTAGATTCCTTCCAAGTGATGAGGAAGCTCTCATCGCTGGAGAGAATGTAGGACTCACTAGAGTTTCTCCTTCTACAACTCCTTCTCCAAAGATAGGAAGAAGCTCTCCTAAGCTCAACCCATGAGAAGTTGCCGGAGAGGAAGAAGAAAAACATAGAAATGAAGGAAAAGATAAAGAAGAAGAAGGAAAATGGCTTCCCTTGTCTTCTCCTTGATGACGATGAAAAAGCCCTCAAGAATCTCCTTGAAAGCTCCTTCCTAAGCTATCCCTTGTTCCTGCTCAGCTCCTCAACAAAAATGGTCTTCAATGGATGAAAATAGCCTTTCCCCATGGTTTCTTCTGTTGTAGGGAGTAGACCCTATGGTACCAAGCCCATTTCCTAATTTGTAATGGGCCCAAATCACTCCCGAAGCTATATTAGGGTGAAGAACTAGATAATAGGGAATAAACCACCGATCATGGTCGCTTCATCGGCAGAAATCTGGGGACCGAAGGGCGAAATTTGTGAAACGGGTTGAACTGTTGGACTCGAGTGTGGTCACACCACTGTAGCAATCGTCGAGGATTGGGAGTCGGTGTGGCCACGTCAGAGAGCCGACGTAAATACACCAACTCTCGCGTAGTCACACCAATGATCAACGTGGTCACAACACCTTCTGGCGTGGTCACGCTGGCCTTGGGACCTGAGCACCTCTCGCAAATTGGGCGTGGTCATGCCTACATCCCAACGTGATTACGCCGAAGTCTCTGTATGGCTGGCGTGTTCATCTTCGGGCGTGGTCACGCCAGAGGTAGGACTTTTGGGACTTTGGAGAGGCTTTGGTGCAGACACACCTAATTTAGGCGTGGCCACGCCATGGGCTGGGCGCGACCACACCTGAATTTGGCGTGGTCACGTCGGACTTCTCATAACTTGGGCTTCCACAAAAGCACGACAAGGGGGTTTCGGGTCTCATGGGACCCCGAATGATCAGATATGAGCGAGTTGTGATCCCCAAAACTCTGTAGGGGTCGTAAGTGCATATTAAGAGCTCCAGAAGGTGCTCCATATGCCTGTCACTGAGTAAGAACGGTTCCAACATGAAATCCATCTATCCAGACCTTAGGCTTAAGGCATGAACACGGTGTGGGGTAATTCCATCAACGATCTACATCATGAAGATGTCTGCATCGAAAAGGTACAACTTCATATCATAGGAACGAGCGTCAACGTGAAAGATACCGAAAGTGATGCCAATTTTACAACGATCGACTCAGAACACAATTATGACGGTGCAAACCACAATTATAGAGCCCGAAGCGTTCACTTAAAGGTCCTAAGGGCTCCTCGGTGGGCCGCGTACAACCACCGACACTGTCCCGTGTCACTCAGAAAGGGTGCCCCGCATTCCTTGCATCCAAAATGGATGCCAACATTTACATAAATACCACTCAATAGTTACTCAACTAAAATTAAGAAAAAAATACAAAAATTTTCAAACTATTTCTATACATGATATCTCATAAAATCAAATAAGTATATATCATAAAGTTACATAACTAACGAAATAAATAAAAATCATAAAATGCATAACACTTTATTAAAAAAAGCCAAAACAGTTTGAACGATTCAATTAGAAAATTAGTTAGAATTTGAGATAATTAAAAATAATAAACTTAATCATAAGTAAAATATAATATTACTTATAATATAACACTTAACCATAACGGTTTTGGACGTTATCCTTAACAGCTTTCACGATTGGTTTACGCGGAACAGCCTCTTAACGGCCGCCTAACGCCGCTTTCATGCGTCCAGTTAACCCCATCCCCATTACACCCACTTTAGCCGGCCTATAAATTTCGGCCATTTACATGCATACCACATAATTCTTATCATTTACATATTTACATTTTTACACACACACATATATATATAAGGAATTAGATATATAAAAACATAAAAGTTATGTCGATTTCAAGTCTGAAATTTAAAATAGTTTAGATATAAATCTTATAATTTTTATACGCTTTTATATCAATTAATATGCGCTGCGTGTCTTGACTTGTTGGTTGGCATCCCCGATATAAGAACTCTCAGGTCGGGAGTAAGGATACCCTCTGTCATAGTTGGTCTTAAAAAGGTGGTACTCGAATTGTTAGACACATTAGGGGCGGATGAAGACTCTTATAATAATCTCAATTATTATTTATATTCATCAAATTTTAATATTGTAATTATATAAAAATTTTATGTATAAAATTATATTTCATTTTAAAATTAATGAAATTAATATTTTTTATTAAGTTATTAAAAATTTTGAATTTTATATTTTATAAATCAAAGTCATTAAATATTATATAATAAAATTATAAAACTATGTGATATATATCTAAAAATATTTAATTTTTTAAATATTCAATAATGTTATTATTGTTAGCATCGATCGAGAGAGGGAGAGTAGGAACAGAAAGAGTAGAGCGCAGGTATTTTTTTTCAATCTGAGGAAGCAAGACGGCTGCTTCATTTTTCTCGGAGACAAAGGCCGAATCCCACTGTTCCAATCGGAGATAGTTTTTCTTCTTTTCATTTCCGATCTTCTCGTCCCTGTGATTCTTGTACAATAGGTCAGATTTGGTCTCGCGATCCTCAGCTGATCGACGTGCTGCTGGGGGGAGCGGAGGAAGGGATGAGCGGGCACTGGGATCGAATTAGGGCATCCACGGTGCGGCTTGGCGGGAACAGCAGCGCTTCGTTGAGTGGTAACTCGTTTGGGGATGGGGGACTCCGGCATACCTCGTCCCAGACGGTGCGACTTGGCCGGATCCAGCCGCAGCACCCGAGCCATCGCACGATCTTCTGCAACGATCGGGAGGCTAATCTTCCCGTTAGGTTTAAGGTCTTTTAGATTTGCTCTTTTAAACTCCTTTGGAATATTTGCTTGTTTTAGATTCTCTTCTTGTTATAATGGGTTGATGACGTGAGTTTATAAAAAAATTTCACTTATTCGTTTTAGTTGCTAAGGCGTATTAGTTCATGAAAACTTTTGTAGTGGTGATTGTAGTAGTGTAGAGATCAGTCAATTGTGATGTTTTCTAGATAGTTTAGTAATGGTCGTTTGCTGCTGAAGATGAATGCTTGGTTCCTTAATTTCTATTTTAGATTCAAGAAAGGAAGTGTACATCAGGTAATGGGATCACGATGTATTCATTTACATTACACTCAAGAAGGAAACCATTATTTAGCATGAACATATGATTTATTAGAAAGAAAATTTGAAATTTCGTTGAATCAAAGATATTTTCATGCTTGCCTCGTGTATTGTTTTTATAAATCTTCTCATTCATTGTTTGCTTCTTAAGTTAGTAGATTTGGCTGCACAATTCATTTGTCAACCCTGTTGAGAAAAGACATGCTTGATTTATTATGGATAAGCTCAGTAACAGAATGACAAACTCCCCTGATAATAGCTAGTAGTACGATAACCAAAAGATTATGATATCCATAAATTACTAAGCGCTTGTTTGGGATTTTGTAACTTTTATATTGTTAACAATAAAGTTGTTGACAGAAAGGTAAAGTTTTTAAAGTTATTGTGGTTATGTTATAGCTTTTATGCAACAAGAACTCATATATCAGCCTTTTTTAATACTGCCACATCGTTATAAATATGATTATGAAAAGTTCATCCTCACCATGAAAATTTCTCAGAAGCAAGAAAGTTTTTGTCAAATAAAAGTGTGGTAGTTTTTTGTAAAATGAAGCTGTTAAAATGCTTTCCCAAATGCAACTTAAATGGCAACTCCAAATTCGACAAATGATGGCTCCAAGCAAAGCTATAAGTTAAAACCAAAGCCAACAATTTGATTCTAGCCTTCCATAAACCAATACCAACAATTAAATAGTGGCGAATGAACCTTTTTAAGATTTTAACCAATCGCCATTTGAATCAGCCACAGACTATTCTTAACCACATAAGCTGACCTAGACCTAAGAAATCAACTCAGTAGAGACCACATCCCACTCTTTTAAGGATTCCATCACTATAGGCTTGTACCAGAAGAACTAAAATTGAAAATTACAAATCCAAAATAACTACCAACTAATGAAGCATAACTAATCTTGCTCGAAATATTAATTGCTTTAGGTGGTTGATGAGCATAAATCTATAAATCTCCACTAAGTCCAATTGGCTTAGGCAAATTTGACTTTGACAATGTTTGCATTTGACATTCAATAAGCTGATTATGATTTTCTTGCTGCACTTTTTGTATCTTAGAATCATCACAAATAAGTCTATCATGATGATATCTCTAAAATGTACTAGTAGTAGTTGATACAATTTTATCATCCATGATAGTTTTATGAACAAGATGATACTATGATGCACAATTGCGGACGTAGGGACATGAACAGAAGATATATTTATTATTAGAATTATAGAACATGAACATGCACTTGACATTTTAACACACACACACACACATATGATTCAAAATAGCATTACCATTCTAGTATTTATTTTCTTGAAGGTTCTTATTTCTGGCTTCAACCGTTCCACTTCCTTCTCATCCGATTTAAACTTCACTTAAACTTCACTTTTTTTTTTTTTATTTAAATCAACAAAGAAGTTTAATATTTCATAATTAGTTGTCAGTTTTCTACCAATATCTTCATGGAACTTTCATTCAAAATAGACAGTTCATGCAAATGATTAATTTGACAATGAAAATGCTGAATATTAAATTGCATCCTAAATGATACTAGTAAAGATACTATATGTTTATAACTAAGTTGTAGAGGATGAGATGGTTGAAAAATTGAAAGCAGATAAACATCATATATATAATTTATACGTATATGGAGGGGCGATCTCTTTAAATAAAGGTTACCCAAATAGCTTAACTATAAATTTTGATGAATGATGTAGTTTTAGAACCAACTCTATTAATGGATATTTGAGTTTCAAGTTTCTTTAAGGCATTTGCCACTAATAAATTCTTTGAAATACTGACGTGATATAGCTTTTTATAAGATTTTTTTAGTTGTTTTATTAAGAAACTAAGCCCCAAAAATAAAATCAACATAAGTTTGATTATTCATTCTAGATGTAATTCTCTTTATAAAGCATCAAGGGCTGTATTGTTAGAGTGCCCGATTGGTTCATTATTTAGAGTATATGATTGCTTCACTGTGCTTTCATGCATAATTTTAATCTCTACTAGAAATTCTAGCTTAAATATGTTCTCATTCTCAAATTTATTTTTAGAACCTTATTTGACTCCTTTTGAAGTATAGATTTTGGTTCATGATATGATCTATTATAGATGTAAATTTAGCCTCATTATCAAATGTAGGCTTACATCATGGCTGGAAATTATATTTTGCAACCAATAAATCTACATAATATTTATGAACTGCAATTGTTTCAATAAAGTCTAATTCAATCGTATATGATTCTTTTTACAAGCTTTAGTTTTAAAAGATGGCATTAATTTTCCCATAATAAAGTTAAATGTATTCTAATATAATTTTCATTGTATTTTTTGACATCCAATTATTTTTAAATCCTCATATAATGCCTTTGGTGACTTTATTTTCATTCATTATTAATATGTTGCCCATGCCTTTTAATGAAACAAATAATTGGAATATAATAGTTTTAAGATAATTAATATTTAGCTACAATGCCTATAAACCTTGCATAATACTTAAACACGCCATAATTAATTTATTTAAAATCTTGAAATCAATAATGTTTCCTGTTTCTATATTCATTTCATGATAGATTTCCCTTAATGTTTAAATTTCATATGTTGCCAAAATGATGATGCTACCATATGCTTTGCAATATTTTGATGTAGGCCATTTTAGATCTATGTTTCTAATATAACTAAATGATCACACAAAAGAAATTGGAATTTAGAGATTAAATCACTAGTTAAAGAAAACTTGCTATTTTTGGATGTAAACTTGAGCAACTCGAATAAAGTGATCATGTACTGATTGGTCTAAATAAAAAAAATCAACTTGAAAAAAGTGATAATGCAACTTGAGCAACTCAATTCTACACTTCATATTTTTTTCATTAGTTTAGTTGGCAGAAAAATTGCTTCCATTGTGAATCTTTCTGGCATGAAACTAAAATGTTTTGCTGTATTAATTTAATTTTTAAGCCTATGTTCCGTTACTTGATAGCATAATTACATTTATATCTTTCAAGTTCATTTATCATTACTGCATATTTCAACATCTCCGTTAATATTGGTTTTAAATATTTTTTCCAATCATTTTGCATTCTTGGTAATCTTCAAGATTATATTGAAAATATTTATTTGCTAAACCATTGCAATATTAGACATATCTCTCCAAATGTCAATAGTGTCGTATTCGGACATATTCTTCACTTTTATGCAAATGTCAATAGTGTCGTATTCGGACATAATTCGGACATAATGTCAATAGTGTCGTATTCCAAATGTCAATAACTGAGGCATGTTCTGTTACTGGTTTGAACACCTTGTTGTGGTCAAGTGAATTGTTTGCATCATCTCAAAAATGGTTAGAGAGACTTCTCATGAGGGCTTTCTTGTGGGAGGACCGATGTTGAAGAATAAACAGGTCCTTTGTGGACATGCCTCAGATATATAAGTAGAAATTATGGTGTCCAGCTTCGTTTGTACCTGTTTGTTACAGTGCTGCTGTTTGAGACTGCATAAAGGTGAAAGGAATGGCCGAATTAAACGCCTTAGTTACATTCTTTTGGGCATAACATTATTATTAAATTGTAGGGAATATTAATATGAATACCTATTATTTTAGTTGTGTCCTGGGGGATTTTAGCATGGTTAACTCGGTAAAAAGTGTTTAGCCAAAATGCAGCTTTTAACAAATGAATTGTGAAAATTATATCAAAGGGCATACCTTAGATGTAGGATGGACTGAAAATGAATTAGAATTTTGTATCTGGCCAAGCTCTTTTTTTTTTTTTTGATTTGTTGCTAGATTTGAGTATGGATAGATTAGATAATAGCTTAAATTCAAGGTTTAGTGATTTTATATTAGATTATATATTAAAGAGGGTGAAAAAAATATATATAAACTAACCAAATAAAGAGAAAAGAAAAATAAAGATTTAACTTCAGTAATGTGTATTAAAGATGAAAATTAAAAAGTGATTTTCTTAAAGAAGGATATTCAACATAGGTGGGTGAGTTATTTTGATAATTTTTTCAATGAAGTTTTTGAAAATACAACGAACCTTAATGGTCTTAATGTCGTTAATAATAAGAAAATATTTTATTTGTGCTGTCGTATTAGTAAAAAATGAAGTTGAGGAGGCTTTAAAGAAAACCAAGGTTGAAAAGTCTATAGAATTGAAGTGTAGAAATATTTAGGAGATTCAAGAGCTTCTCTGCTTACTAAACTTTTTAATATTATTTTAAAAACTATAAAGACGCCCAAGGAGTGGAGGAAGAGATTTTGGTCTGTATTTTTAAGAATAAAGGAAATGGACAAGTGTGCCCAAATTATAGAGGAATTAAGTTAATGTGCATACTTTAAAATTATGGGAGAGGGCAATTGAATATAGTTTAAGCGTATTTTAAAGATTTCTCATAATCAGTTTGGATTTATGTGGTTGGGTCAACTATGAAAGATTTATATTTATTGAGAGGTTTGATGGAGAAGTATAGAGAGAATAAGGAAGATCTACATATGATTTTTATTGATTTAGAAAAAAATTACGATAAGGTTCCAAGTGATATCTTTTTGGAGAGTTCTAGAGAAGAAAGATGTTGATATGATTTATATTCAAGTTGTATACTAGAGTTGTTACTTGTGTTCAAACATGGGAATTGAACAAATATTTTTAATTTTTTTGCTTTAGTTGTGAATGCTTTTATCAGACATTTACAAGAGGATGTACCTTGGCGTATGCTTTTCACTGATGATGTCTTTATGTGGATAAGAGTAGAGAAAGATCTTTGGATAAACTTTTATTAGGAAGGTCTTCATTGGAGTCTAAAGGTCTTCGTTTGAGTAGAACTAAAACTCAATACATGGAATGTAATTTTAGTAGTAGTAGCTCTAGTGATAGAGTTGTAACTATGGGTGATCAAATCATTAAAATGTGTGAACGCTTTAGATATTTTGGTTCTATTATTCAAAGTGATAGTGATATATACGGGGATGTTATTAGTAGAGTTCAAGTTGGTTGGTTGAAGTGAAGGAATGCTTCACGACTATTGTGAAAGAAAAATTTTATGAGATGTTGGTGAGACCTGTAATACTCTATGGCGCAGTATGTTGGCCTTTAAAAGAGAAACATAAAGCTAAGTTAAGTGTTGCCGAGTTGAGAATGCTTAGGTGGATGAGTGGCTTTACATTTGGAGACAATGCGAAATGAATATATCTATGATAGGGTTGGTGTAGCTCTAGTGGCTGACAAAATTAGAAGAAATCGTCTTAGATGGTTTGATCACATTAAACGTCAACCATTTGATGATCCGGTTATGAGAGTTGATGTTTTAGATTCGACTTATGTTAAGAAAGACAGAGTTAGACCTAGAAAGACTTGGACATATTTAATAAAAATAATCTTAATTTATTAGAATTAAATGAAAATATGACACTCAATAGGACACAATGGAGAAAAAGGATTCATGTAGCCCACCCATTTAGTGGGATAAAAGCCCGCTCTTGTTGTTGTAGCTAGATTTGGATATGCCTTGAACTTATAAAAAAGTTTTCAATCTTGTTTATTAAATTTTTAATGAGTTCAAGCCGCTGTAATTGAGCCTAACTATTTATGCGTAGGTTGCCAATATTTTAAGCAAACGTTCATATTGCTAATCGCAATCTTATTTATATACTCAGCTTCATTCACTCAACATTATTTTTGATTTTTTATGAATAAAAAAATATATATTTGATCTATCAACCTAACTATTTGTTCAATATTTTCAATATCAAATGCCAATAAAAAATAAATTAGTTTTTTAATAAATTCTGATAGCTATTTGCTTAATTCTTTCATGACCTAGTATAAAAATAACTTTTAATGTGTTTTAATGTGCATATGACATAGAAAATTAACATAATGTTGAATAAAGATTCAAATATGTAACTAAGTCATCTTTATATCAGCATTTTTTCTAGCTCTTACAGAGCTACTTGTTAAACCCCAAACCAGCATGTTCATTAATAAATGAATGACTGGTCAATGTAATATTCAAATTTGTACATTTTTATATCAAGCTTTAACATTTTAGTTCAAGTTTTTTCAAATATCTAATTTAATGAACTTTTCAATTTTATTGTATGAATGAGCTCATTAAAAATTTAATAATCCTTGTATGAATGAGCATTGAGCTTTTCAATTTTATTGAGTACGTTAGTTTGCCTAAAACCTTACTTAAATGCATGGGCTAAGGCTGCTGTGAGTTAAAAAGTTGGGATTGGCTTTGTAAATCAACATTGTGTGTTTCTTTACCTAATCCCAATTATTTGGGATTAGCTTTATGAATCCACTCTCCAGTCATGGCTATTGTTTGGTGCTTGTGTTATTTACCTGTAGTACAAATATTCTTACAAAGCTTTTATTCATTTCCTTCAGTTCTCTATCCTTTGTCTATCTCAATCTGTTCAGATTAATTTTTTCTACTTTTTTTATTGTTATATATTTTATCATTCATTGATGAAATTATTACTCTCCAACATCCCATTTTCGTTGTTTTTTGCAGGGAAATTCTGTGTCAACTACAAAGTACAACGTCTTTACATTTTTACCAAAAGGATTATTTGAACAGGTAATATGATTTTTAATTTTTTTATGCTGCGATCATTGCCTCTTTTTTTCTAATCCTGTCATTCTGAGGATTATGTATTTGAAATAACAGTTCAGGCGGGTTGCAAATTTATATTTTCTGATGATCTCAATATTGTCAACCACCCCAATCAGGTAAGTCTGTTTGTATGATAGATCTTTTTGTTTTTTCTTGTCCTATTTACTCTTACTGTATATTTACATTTTATATTTTCCATACATTTTTGTTTAACTCACAAGTTACTTTATGTTAAATTTCTTAACCAAGAGTTGGTTAATTGCCTGATGCCTGTGTTCAGAAAATTATTTCTTTAAACCTGCAGTCCTGTTCACCCCATTACAAATGTGGTTCCACTTAGCCTTGTTCTCCTGGTCTCTCTTGTCAAGGAAGCGTTTGAGGACTGGGTATCATAACTTTTATTTTTTATTTTTATTTCCATTGCCTTGTGGGGTTTTACTGACTTCATTAGTTGATTTTTTTGCACCAGTTTAATATCTTTCATGTATTCTTTATCAACAGAAACGTTTGCAGAATGATATGTCTATTAATAACACTCCAGTTGATGTATTACAAGATCAGAAGTGGGAGTCTGTTCCTTGGAAAAAGCTGCAGGTTGGAGACATTGTGAAGGTAGATTCATGTTGGAGACTTCTTGTTATGGTCGCTAGCATTCGATTGTCCTGCTTTGCATTTTGTTTCCAATGAATCTTTTACTTTCAGGGTTGGTTATTGATATTCTGTCCATCTTGTTTTACCTTCATAACTAACACCTATAGCTCTATTTTCTTGTCTATCTGTTCGATGATCTATCTATTTTATTGCGGCAATTTACAGATTTAGTTGTTAGTAGGAAAAGAATGAGCTGAACAATTAGATCTTTGTGGAAAAAAAAAATCATATTCTCATTTGAATTTTCATTATATACAAAATGTTCAGGCATTCAACATTTATCCTTTATGTTTTTGAGTGCTTCAGTTGCTAGCTTATAACAAGTTACTAGGATCTCCTTTTTATATTCTATGTCCCTCCTTGGTGCCCAACCTTCCCTTTTTAGGTGTGAGGCATGAAAACTTTACTATTACCAATATAATACAGAAATTGACCTTTTATACCTCTTACCATCATTTATGAAACTAGATATTTTTTTTTTTTTTTTTGCATTTGCTATTTTCTTTTGGTATGCCATCCACTAAAATATATATTTCAGAAAAAGAATGTTTTAATCAGCCATATTGTCTAGCCTTAAGTGTCTATCATGTTGGTTTTGAGTGCTTGTGTTATATATTTTTTCTTAGAGATGTATCAACTTGCTGTTAAATTGGTTTTATTGTTCTTTAGGTACTTGTCATCAGAATTGTCGCAATCATCTAGCCGGTATTTGTCTATTGGAACTGTAAATAATTTGATGTGCTAGTTTTTCAATTTTTTTTCTATTGGAACTGTAAATTGATTAGATGTGCTATTACTATTTTAGTTCCTTGCCTGATCAAGAGGAAGGTGATTGTGTTCCGGCTGTTGGTTTCTGATTTGTACTTTGGGATATTTTCTTCGTAATGCTCCTCAATTACCCTTTTTAGGTGTGAGACAGTGTATACCATATTTTTATTGTTTTGAATGAAATTTAATGTTTTTGTTTTTTTGGCTCTTGATTAGTTTTTGTGGCAGCAATTTTGAAAAATGCTTGCTTAGACACCTTCGTTTGCTCTACTATATGATTTCAGGCGTTGTTTTGCTAGGCCTGCCTTATATATGGTTTGGGTACTTTCTTCGTAAGCTTTTAATTAGTATACACTGTCCGCTTTTATTGGTGCTCCCAGTTTTGTTTAGAAGTTGAGTTATAATACCACGGCCCCAGCTGTTTAGTGTTGTGATGAAAATTAGGGGTGTCAATTCGGGTTAATGGATTGGTTGAAGTCTTATCCGAATTTGATTCGATTCGATTGTGCATGATCTGAACCTGTCCTGACTTTAGCTTGACAAACCCAATCCGCCTTCAACTAGATTGATCCATACCAGACCTGCATAACCTATTTAACATAAGACATAATAAATAATTGGGTGAAATTTGGTTTCAAGTTGGCTTGTAAAATTTAATTTGGCCTGGTAGTACAACCCAAACTTGACTAAAAAAAGTAAACAGGTCAGATTCTAGACCCGAATCCGACCCAAAAGTTAATTGTGTTAATCAGAACCTGAAATTTGTTGAGTCATGTTGGGATTGAACTATCATGCTGGGTCAATTTGTTACATTCCTAACTTAAAATATATGAGGCGTGTTTGTGATTTAATTTAATTCTATTGGTAAGTCCCCCATGAAGTGTTCTTTTTGTTCTCGATGTACCATAATGCGTCTGTGATAAATTTGGACTGCTACCAATTGGGTGGGTGAGTTTGAGTTTCTCAAATTTTCAACAATTCATCATATAATGATCTGTTCTAATTATAGACTAAAATATAACCAACGTAATTACATTTAACAACAATCACATAATCTATCCATCAAAACAAAAGTGAAATTTACTTCGATAGATATTTATTCTAGATTATCTATACAATTAGAGCATATATTGAAGTATTAGTAATCCTGTAGTCATAATATAGTGGATACTGTACTGCCATCTTGTTTCCCAAGGCAACATAACCAGTAACAATAAAAAACACTAAATTAAGAAAAGAGTGAATTTACAATGTAAGCATAGTAGGTGAAACATATTTTCTAATACATATGCAACTTATTGTTCATGCAAAATGCATGAAGAATAAGCCCCGGATACATCATTGTAAGCTCATCTATTAACAAAACTAATGAACATGCAAGGTAACATGAATGGATAAGTATCTGCATATCAAAATTATTTAGTTGGTAACTTGCATATTATATATCAAACTAAATATTCAATGTACATATATCATAGTCATATTTAGCTCAATGTAAAAAATGTGCATCACAACAATCAATGAATTCAGTTTAACTTGTTGGTCCCGAGTATTAATAAGAATGTTTCCACCAGTTGAAACTTAAATTCACTCAATTATCGCCTGTGACTTACTTGAAATAAAATGTTATTCTTTGGCTTGTGGATGGTTTGCTTCAATGTCATTCATTTTAACTGAAAAATAACTCGATATATGTATAGTTATACATTTGTATATGTTTTTTGAATTTCATGAAATTAAATAACAGCCATATAGTTTCACTAACATGATGTAAATTTTTTAGCACCAATCATTACATGATATCTAACAGGTACTGTGATTCACTTGAATTATAAAAGCAAAAAAAATTCATCTTTTTCATATATCAAATGGGTTTTTTTTTTTAACTGAGAAGGGTACATATACCTTTCAATAAACACAATTCACCTGCCTCAAAGTAAAAAACTTGATTTTAAGTTTTTTTCGATTTCTTTGATTCATATCATTTTAAGTCCAAGTAGCAGATCCTAGATTATACCTAATACCACAAGACAAACTTTGGATAATTTAATTTTGTACCTTAATAAGATTGATCATTATTTACACAAATGAACTTAACATATGAAATTGATAAAAAGTTGCCAAATTTGTATATTTATCAGCAAGTTTAGATATTTAGGTTTGCCCTCTATCATTAAGTATATTTGGAATGATTCTAGATTAAGGCTAATTTTTGTGTGTTGACCTGTAATGCTGACACCTAAGGGCTTGTTCTTTATTATCATAAGGGCAATTTAGTCATTTGACATTTATTATTGTTTAGTATAAATAGGCTAATATGGTTAGGGTTAGGACATGCATAAGATTGTTCTCTTTAAGTCTTAGGTTAGGGTTTGGGAGAGATTTCCTAATTGTCGAATTGTAGGAATTGGGAGAGATTACCTACTTCTTAAACTGTAGGTGTTTGTCTTTGTATTCATGTTGTTTGGAATTATTTAAAAAAAATGGTTTGTCCTAATTTTTGTGGAAGGTCGTGCAAATTTTTGCATCAGATTATATCAAGTGGTGTCAGAGTATTTGACATGGGAATCAGATGGATCGGGCCTTCAAACTAGCTGGATAGAGTATGGCTATGATTCACCTCTCAACTTAGGGGAAGTAACAACCGAATCACTGGAAAAGTTTTTATCCATTGAAAACTGATTCAAGCGTTTGAAGGAGATGATTATTTTGCAAACCCTAACCAAGGGTTAGGCGGACATTCATTGGCCAAATTGAATGGGAAAGAGATCGGTTAAGAGGAATACGACGAAAGCATCCACCATCAGGAATCTCCTCTCAAAGCTTCGATGGGTGGTGGATTAGAGATTTTTGATGGAGGTGGTTAAGCCAAAATACGGAAAAGGGGCTATGGAGGAGCACGAAGAATAAATTAGAAACTGGGATAGAGTATGGCTATGATCGAAGAATGAAGTTTTACCTTTGATACATGTGGAGAACACTGGAGGGAGAGGAAGTTGGGTTGGAGATACTAGGGCTAGGAAGTTGAAGTTGTTGATTTTCGAGGGGGAATGCACATATGGGTGGGTATATCGGGTGGAGCAATATTTCACAATGAATGACTAAATGGGGAGGAGATGCTCATGGTGGCAGGATTATGTTTGGAGAGAAAAGCTTTAACATGGTTTTAGTAAAGGGAGTTTAAGTGCTTGATTCACTCGTGGTAGGAATTTAAGTATTGCTTGTTGGAACATTTTTGAGCCATTCAGAAGGAGACCTACATGAGCAATTCTTTGCATTGACTCGGGAAGAAACTGTTATGGAGTATAGGGAGAGATTCAAGCTCTTGTTGGGGAGAGGGGGGGG